GGATGATTGGTAAGATAGCTGGTAAGAGATTATATTGGGATGTGCCTATGTGGGGATTCCTGTAAGAGATTAAACTTTGAATCACTAGATTGAGTAAAGAAGATCAGACTGGGAGTTACACCATTAGCTCACCTGGGTCTCAGGCCTTCAGATTTGAACTGAATTATATCATTGGCTGTCCTATTTTTCCATCTTGCAGATGGCATATCATTGAACTTTTCGTCCTCCATGATTGTGTGAGCCAATCTCCATAATAAATTGCCTATTATACTTGATCTATTTATCTATCAATCGATCGATGTATCGATCTATATCTATATACTTCCTATTGATGCCGTTTCTCCAGAAAACCCTGACTAATACTCTAGAAGTTCAGGACATGTGTATGCATATGGATGTATATACAAAAACATACGTGTGAAAACTAAAGGCATAAAATCAATAATCTCAGCTTCCACATTACCAAACTATAGAATAAGGGGCAATTTAAACCTAAAGAACTAAAATATGAAGAAAGTAAATAGGGAGGAGGAGGAAGATGGCTGACTAGAGACATCAGCTGCCAGATTGTCCTGGAGTGCAGGAAGGATTTCAGATAAAGAAGAGGGGGGATTGGGTAAAGCTCAGATATAGTTTGGGGAGAAGGAAACTTCCAGAAATTTCATGGGAAGAAGTTGTAGAGAAAACAGGAGGAAAAAGATATTGTCAGAGAACAACCCTAGAGAAGCTTGGAGCCAGTGAGGAGGGTAGTTGGGGGGTTTCATTTCTCCTTCCCTCACACTTCCCATATTCACTGGGCCTCTGAGCTGGTTGGGTGCTTTTCCACCCTCACGAGCCCAAGGGCTACTGCAACCATTGTACTGAGAGCTTCTTGAAAACAAAGCTTCAGGCTTCTAGCCCCTTTGGGGTCACTCCCTGTAGCCACAGTCCTTGAGTCAAGAAAATGGCTACCATATTGCTTCTCCACCCCTAGCATCCCTTTGTCTGCTCCAGGGAGATCTAGATCTTCAGTTTTCACATCACCTGTTCCCCTCAGACAGCTCCCAACTCCTGCCGTGAGGACCCGGAGAATTTGTGTGATCTCAGAGCTTGTACATTCCATGTGGGCTTCCTTCTAGGGAGAGCGACCAGAAGGGCAGGAATGCTGGCTCTTCTTCATTCAGATGATTTTTCTCCCCTACCCCTCCCATGCCCACTGCAGCCAAAGGGTCGATTGAGCTGAGAATTTCAAAAGAATCCCCTCTGTTCATGCACCCAGAAGTCTGAGGTTTCCACAGAGAGTGGGGCCAAAGCTTATCCTTTGTGGACCCGCAGTGGACCTAGAGGTGCTTGGTCTGGGAGTTCTCTACCCACCAACACTCCCCAGAGACACACGTTGGCAGGACAGGCATGCAGGCTAAATCCTGTATCCCTAGGACTTGATCGGGTTTGTTTTGGGGGCACAGAGGTGAGCTTTGAGGACTAAACTTGGGAGTCGAGGGAGCCCATGTGGGCAGAACTGACAGGAGGCTGCACCGTGGGTCTAAGCCACAGAAAACTGGTGGAATACCCATTCCCCCTACAAGAAAGCCACATTTTCAGGCTGGGGTAGGACCTCAAGGAGGGAAGTTCCCAACCTGTGGCGTCACTGCTGGTGAGCTCAGCGAGTTCAGGTGCCCCTTTGCAACCAGATGTTGGAAGGAAACCTGCAGGGCAGGGGAGGAGGGAGAAGAGAAAAACTCACTTCCCACAGCCAGTCTGTGACTTTCAGATGGCCCCTTCCCCATAACCGCAATTTCAGGTTTCGTGGGGCCATTTCAGCCACTTTCCATTGGATTTTCCCTGTGTCCTGGAGCTGACTTTTACTCCTTGCGGAGACAGCTCTAGGGCCTGCCTCTACAGAGCCTGAAGACAGGTTCGACCAACCTAACCCTGCCTGACCTCGATCCTCCACCCACCTCTGCAGTGGTGGAGCACAAGCTATCCCCTGGGAGCCCGAGGGCCCCTCTCAATGCCTCTGTGTTTTGGAACTGAGGGGCTAGAGCCAGTGGTAGGCCCCTGAGAATAACACTGCAGCTGGCTTTTTCCTGCAAGCACCAACTGGTAACAGTGAGAACAATTTGTACAGTGCATTGCAGCATCTACTGACTCAATCAAATAGGTTGTGGCTGATTCTTACTCAAAAGCACCACCTACCATCTCAGAGATTAAGCAGGGTGTCCCAATATAAATGACACAGCTGTGGGAAGGGGAAGACATCAGCATAGAAACATCCCACGGGGGCACCGCTCTTAAGGAGAGGAGTAAAAGATACAGGCAGCTCAAGCTGTGAGGGGTCTCCCTTCTTCACTGCTGACCTCTGGGCTGATTGGGGAGCTGTTAAGAGCCTGCACAGAGACACAGCACCAGAGAGCAGGTATAGCAGACATCTGGTGGACACCGATCCCGGGTTTCTGCAGCTGACGCCGTCTTAAATACTCAAGTGCATGGTACCAGGTCGGGTCAGGACTCAGTTTTTCAGCAGTGGCCTTCACAACATCTCCACCAAGCCTGGGAAGGAGCAGGGAGAACAGATGCTCCCCTGTGCTGTGCCCTGAGACTGGGCCCAGGAAAGCCTCTTCCCCTGCGTGGGATCTGAGCAGAGGAATCTCAGATGCAGCAGTCACCACCTAGGAAGCCTGGATAGACAGCCTCAGTGGGCCCTAGATAGGGGGAAGAACCTTGGCTGACCAGAAGCACAAGCCTGCCTTCGCTGTTGCTTGGCCTCTGGGACAAACCTCTGCCTCTGTGACTAGGCATCGCCAGTTTCTGCACTGAAAAAACTGCCCTCTCCCTTGCTTAGTCTGCTGATATGTCTACAACAGGAATGTGGAAGTGTTGAATGTTCCCTAGGGAAGAGCATGGAGTGGTGTGAGCTGTGCCAAGTAAATGTATAATGAGATGCCACCTAAAATTTTATCTATAATTATGATATGATACATATAGAATTGGAACAACAAGAAAAGAATGTAAACTATAAAAGAAATGAAAGAAAAACCATTTTTCCATACACTAAGACAACAATTGGAACAGTCTTGTGATGGCCCACATGGAAGGAAACATCCATATTGGGCATCTGAAATGCCTGGGACCTTAATCAAACGTGCAGGCAGTGGCATGGTTCAGGTCTGTTCGGGATGTCCCCAGCTGGCTCCTGTCTCCTACAGAGCACCTTGCCCAGAGTTCCTTCAATTGTCAGAGAACCTGGCCAT